AAGGGACTCCAAGTGGTTGTTCTAATGGTGCTGGAGCAAAGTCTACCTTGGTCTGCGGTGCAATTTCTCGGGGTGAGTCTCGACTCTCGACTTGGAGTAATATCTTCTTTGTGTCCTCATGACGTGAACTCTCAGCTGTTTCCCTTGTGATTTCCTGAAACTTGCTGGGTTGGTCAGTCTTGGAGTAACGAACACTGCTCACCATTCTCAACACCCACGTTTTCTTTTGGTGAAGGCTGTCTATGAGCCAACTTCCGGTCCTTTGTAAATTCATGCTGTGATATTGTAGTAGCCAGATGGCAAGCTCTTTCTGATCGTCTTCTTGGTTGGTGGACATCATAATTTGTTGGCATGTTTCGAGACAATATCCAGCAATTCTGGTTTCCTGTCTCGATTTCCAAGCAGATGCAATTGCTCGAACTTGTCAACATCCTGCACCCCAAACAATTGCCGCTGTCTTACATCTGACAAGCAATAGCGCGATGACATTGTTGCAATTGTGTACCCGAAGTTGATCCCAAGCGCCTACGCGACAATCAAAACTCTGCGTGAAGTTCAGGGGTCCAATGTTGGCAAATCAAACCTGCCTGCTATTTATGTTTCGGGACCCCTTCGCATCGTGGGTTGACCTATATCTCGATGATGATAAAGGTGGCTTTCTATTTTAGTTAAGCTTGTCGATCGTTGTGGTGTGTGCACGGGATCCTAAGAAATACATTAGCGGGAAATATGTTTCTTCAAATTTAATGTTAGGTGAGCGAGGCTCAGCGCCACCAAGAATTGTGTTGGAACACTGCAATCGCAAACTGACACTCGATTTGCGAGAGCTTCTGCAGAGACATTCTTGCGGGTGGGTACGTCGCAGAAATCTATATTTGCATGCTAGTATTAAATTTATAAAAAAGAGTTGCCTAAGCGGCTCACCGTTTATTTGTATCGTTTTGTGCATTATCCAGAGCTCCCAAGTGGGCACAACTGAAGCCGCGCTTGTGGAGCTTGAGTAGAACACGGTGCTTGTACATTTAGTGCTAAAGGGGCGTACACGTAGCCTGGCGTCGATCGGCGCGCAGCTAGAAGTATCCTACAGTAGTGGTTGTCAGAGTTGGATACAAGCCTGTTCCAAGCCAGAAACGGACAGCCACATCGGATAAAACACCAGGAGAGCCCTATATTAGAGTTTATTTCAGGTGGAAAAAATGCGAGTTCTAGCGCTCCGGAGTTTCGCTCCGAGTTTCGCTCGGTTTTTGGAATCGTATTTGTTGTATTCCTACCGTAAGTACGAATTCATGCTGCAACTGACAGGTGTACCGCAAAATATAATCGCTGGAGCGGTTTACAATTTAGTTGGGCGTGAACGACTTCACCAACCGCTGCAAACAGCAAATTTAGACGGAACTGACAATATGCCTGGAATGGGTAAGATATCTTGGAATCCAAGAGATGTGGCGCCCACCAATATAGCCTCGAATCTTCTTGGAGTCGCCGCTTGTATCCAACTTTGACAGCCAGACACCAAGCCGGTCGCGTTTTTGTCTAGTTCAACCAAGTAAGACTCGGTAAATTGTCTATAAATATTGATAGGGACTGGATAAGACCCTGGTCCAAGTACCAGAACCGCTCTGACGGGAGCAAAATTAAACGTTTTGATTGGCTTTCTAAAAGTGGTACATCATACCATTTACGTCTGACAGCTCTTGTAGAACTCGTTTTCAAAGCTGTGGTCTGAGCCGTTCTGAGTTCTAGAACCGCTATTGACTCTGTCCAATCACGAGTACTACTGCGGCCATATTTGCTGTCGTGAGCGCTAGCGTCGCTGTGACGTTTACAGTCACCGCCGATCAGTGAGCACGCGAATGAGCGGGAAACATGTCGACGTTTCCTATGGAGACGTTTGAGAGAGCGCTCAAGGCTCCGCACACGAAGTGGTTTAACAAGATGCGGCGTTGTGATCGCTCCTTCTTTCTTATCATCACCCGGACACTTACAGGGACGTAGCAAGTTAGGCCGCATCACAACGCTAAGCTTAGGATTGTCCATCGCGTAGCACTGCCTATGATGTATTTAGTGCAAGGGGGGTAATCAAGATGTTCTGGGCATCTGGCATACTCGAGCTGTAAACTACATCAATGAACCCCTTGAGGTGATCGTCAGTCATGCAAAAACAGTCATCTGCATGCCTGAAACGAGTAAAGTGTCTACCGTAGAGGACGCGGTTTTCGCCCTCGCAGGGTTTCCTGGTGCTACTGTATTGATGCTGAATGGCACACTAGTGCGAATTGCACGTCCAGCAGATTTTTAAGGCTGGTATTGTCGGAAGGGCTACCCTGTAGTAAATGTTCAAGCTGTAGTGAGTGGTGACGTAGGGTTCGTCACGGGGGGATTGTTCTCCATGTGTCGATCGCTTCTAAGAGTAGGAGCCATTTAAATGTAAATACACTTAAATGTCAACTTTAGGAAACTAATCAGGAAGTAACGTAAACACGTAAGTGCCGGGCAAAAGGCCGCGACAGGACTGCGGTGTCTGGCGAGGCTGCTCTTCTCTGCTGCTCTCTGATGAGCGGCAGGCGTCAAAACGCAAAGTGTGGAGCAGCCTCCGCCAGAACACCGCTGTACCGCAAAAGTAGATTAGTATACAAATAGCAAATAAGTCAATACTAAACTCTAGATAAATGCACTCTCGTTTGAGTACACCATCTTGGCAGCGCACAGCCAACGATGTCCTTGTGCATACAGTCCTTGGTATAGTCCTTCGCCATTGCACGCATGTGTACTCAGTGTAGCCGGTTGTAGTGCAGCCGCAAGCTGCACTGCCAGGCGCATGAGTGTCCTTGGGATGTGTCTTTGCAGACACTGGCAGTGGACGGTGGCTCGTAGATGGGGGCACCGGACACTGGCAGACTGCAATGCACTGGCGCTCGACACGCAGGTAAGTTTTTATAGCTCACACTCCCACTTGATCTCGGCGACGCACTTGGAAGTCGACGCGATCACGCACGCGCATCCTAGTTGCCGCCATAGTCCTAGTAGTAGCGTAGTCGCAGCTCAAAGACAATAGCAGTCCACTCAGTAACAGCACTCCCACTCGATCGCCCTCGTCTTCATCAATGTCGCTCAGGTACAGCCTCCGCATCAACAGCAGTAGTCAACGCAGCAGCAGTAGTCGTAGTTGTAGCCATGTCCTCGGATACGTTGTCGTCGCTCGACACAATAGGTAAGACTTTCATAGCCTTGCGAAAGTGTGTGAACTTCACCACTGCAAGTGCCTTTGTCATTATATCGACCACCATCTCATCAGTTCCGATGTGTTGGGTTGTAAGTTGCTTCAACTCCACATGGCGTCTGATCATGTGGTACTTGTTATCGATATGTTTCGATTTCGAATGTTTGCCAGGTTTCGCAGTTAAGGCAATGGCTCCTTGATTGTCTCCCAGTAGTTGAGGTACTGGATGTTTCCAGCTTAACTCTTTGCATAGGCCAGCAAGCCACAACAAGTCCTTGGTCGCCTCTGCCATTGCTACGTACTCAGCTTCACAGGTACTAAGCGCGTTGATCTCTTGCTTGCGAGATGCGTAGGAGATGACGTTGTCGTCCAGCATAGTGATGTAGCCACTGATACTCCGTCGATCCACAGAGTCGTTCGCATAATCAGCATCAGAGTAGCCACTAACTTGCACATCAGTCTGTAGCTTCACATTCATCACTAGTCCGTAGTCACATGTAGCCTTCAGGTAACGCAGCACCCTCTTGGCTTGTGCGAAATGCATATGATCATAGCTCGCAAGATACTTGCCCAGGTGTCGGGTAGCATGAGCTATGTCAGGTCTCGATGCACTAAAGAGGTACTGGAGAGCACCCACAAGTTCTCTGTAGGGAAGATACTCCTTCGAAGCAGGCACGTCTGTCTTCGAGGGCGTCGTAGCTTCTGGTGTAGCACAGCCATTACAGTTCTCCATATGAAAACGCTTCAGCACCTCCAGTACGTACTGCTTCTGGCAGTACACTATTTGCTGGCGCGGTCGGTCAATCAGGATCTCAACGCCTAAGAGATATTTGACTGTGCCCATCGTCGTGAGCTCGAATGTCTCTTGCAGTGAGGCAGCGATTGTGGCACACAGGTCACGTGAACCCATCAGCAGTAGATCGTCCACGTATACAGTCAATAGCAACTTGACTTCACCATCCTTCCTCAATGTATATAGGCCGTAGTCAGAGTCCGTCCTAGTAAAGCCCATCGCAACAAGCTTCGCATGAAGCGTGCGATTCCAAACGTTCGGTGCTTGCTTCAGTCCGTACAGGCTCTTCAACAATCTGCAAATGGACCCAGGTCCATCCACCTGGAAGCCAGGAGGCTGCTCCATGAAGATAGTCTCGTCCAAGTCTCCATGCAGAAAAGCCGTCTTCACGTCAAATTGCAACACCTCCCAACCTCTTTGTACAGCGTAGTAGATAGCCGCACGTATGGTTTCGAACCGGATCACAGGTGCATAGGTCTCAGAGTAGTTAATCCCAAGTTGTTGTTTGAATCCATGGATCACTAGTCGCGCCTTGAAACGTTTGATTCGTCCACGCTCATCTCGCTTCACAGCAAAGACCCACCTACACGTTATCACCTTCACGTTCTTGGCATCTTTGCGGGGTACAAGTTTCCAGCTCTTGTGACCCTTCAACGATTGAAGTTCCACCAACATTGCAGCTCTCCACTGCTGCCAGTACTTGCTTGCACGTGCTTGTTTGTACGTCGTCGGAATCTGCACATCCG